TAGCTGTGGGTAACAAGTGTTAGCCTGGAGCTAGCTGCGGGTGACAAGTGTTAGCCTGGAGCTAGCTGTGGGTAACAGGTGTTAGCCTGGAGCTAGCTAGCTTGTTAGGGTTAGAGTTAGCTAGTAGCCTGCTAAGTGGCACTGCAGACCCTCCTGGTGAACAAAGATGGCATCTTTCATGCTCATCTCGACATCTGTCAGTCTAGGTTTGTTAACGGATCATCAGTCACGTGATTTAAATGTCAGAATAAAACCTGAAACTCCTCCTCAGTCGGCTGGAACTGAAGAAGAACCCTGAATGAAGCTGAAGCGTCTTCAAGAGCCAAGCTGAAAAGTCCTGTTGCCTTCTCCTGAGGATTAACCTGATGACACAGTGTAACTCCCCTGCTTTTACCTGATTGGTTGAAGTAGAAACCTTTATGAATAAATTTCAATATGCCAGCACTGTGTCTGTTAAATTTCATTTTAAAAACACATTTTTGTATTTTGTGTAAAGCTTAAATCAACACATGAACAGAAAGTTTCAGTTTCTGGTGAACGTCCTCTGAGTGAAGAACATCAGCTGGCTGACTGGATTTCCAAACAGGAGCTGAGTGTCTGCAAACAGCAGACGTCAGTCGATTAATACAATACAAACAGAATAAATAATAATACATTTAATTTGAAAGCGCCTTTCTCGACACCCAAGGACGGTGTACAGAAAAACAAAAAACAGTAAAATACAGACACGATAAAAAGATAAAAACAACACATAATATGGGGCGAGGGGCAATGTGGAGCAGTGAAAGTCTGAACACATGGCTTTTACGTTTTGATGTGAAGATGGGGAGGGTGGCAGAGTTTTGGAGGTCGGGCGGTGGTGAGACGGGTGGAGGGTGCAGACAGGTGAAGGAGGAAGAGGATCTGAGGGAACGGGATGGAGTGATGACATGCAGGAGGTCAGAGCGGCATGAGGGGTGAGGCTGTGAATGGACTTGTAGGTGTGCAGGAGGATTTTGTACGTGACTCTAAGTTTAACCAGGAGCCAGTGGAGTTGATGTGACGGAATGAAGGGTGGTGGTGATCCGGGTGGCAGAGTTGTGAACCAGCTGCAGTTTGCGGAGGGATTTATGAGTGGTCCAGGCAAGCGATGACAAGACTGTGGACATGGATGGCGGTGGTGTGGGGGTGAGGGAGGGGTGAGGCGATGTATGGTGTGTAGGTGGACGTAAGCAGACCGGGTGATGTTATGGGTATAAGATTGAAATGATAGTTTACTGTCGAGAATGACACCCAGACTCTGAACGTGAAGAACTGTCGATGGTGAGAGTGAAACTGTCGACTTTAGAAAGAGTGGATTTGAAGGAGGGGAGAGGGAGCGTGGAGCTGGGTGTCATCCGCAAAGCAGCAGAAAGAAACGCTGAATTTACAGAAGATTTGACCGAGGGGGAGGAGGTAGGTGATGAAGAGGAGGGGTCCCAGAACAGAGCCCTGGGGCACACCTGGGGAGGGGTCGGACGTGAACGGTTTCATCTGTATGAACTGAGTGCGGCCTGAGTGGCAGGAATGGAACCAGTGAAGGGAAATGTGAGTGAGTCTATTGAGGAGGATGGGGTCAGAAATGGTGTCAAAGACCGCACTCAGGTGGAGGAGGTGGAGGAAGGAAGGCGACCCGGTGGCAGCTGAGTGAGGGGATCATCGGTGACTCTGGTAAGGGCTGTTTCAGTGCCGTGACAGGGTGGACACCGGACTGAAAGGGCCCGTACAGGCAGAGAGATGAGTGTGGCGTTGAGAGGAAACTGTAATAAAGTAATTAA